TTTCAGTTGTGTGGCTTTTACACCGCCTCGTTGCATGCATGTGTGCACACTCAATTGTATGCCTTTGGAGGGCAGGAGCTATATCTCATGTAATTTTGAATTTCCCCATCACTCAATACAATGCCTTAGACAAAGAAGTAGTCTTGTTATTAATATTAATAATGATAACAGATAGCATTTACATATGGTTTTAAGGTTTGCAAGGTTCTTTACATGCATCATTTGATCCCACATGACACTTTGACGTAAGAGTTACTATTTTCCTCATTTTATAAATAAGAAAACTGATGCCAAGAGAAGTTAAGTGACTTGCTCAGAATCACAGCTAGTTACATGTTTAAGTCAGGATTTGAACTTGTGTCTCTTCCTCTCTAAATTCAGCATTCTATGCACTGTGCTGCCTAGCTTTCTGGTGGAATGAATACGTGAATTAGGAATTTTTTTTCATTTTGTTCTAAAATACTTTTCACGCTCCTCTCAGACATACACAGGGTCAATTTTAGAACTCAAAGGAATATTAGAAATTATCTAGGTCAACCCCACCCCCATTTTACAAATGGAGAAACCAAGGCCAAAAGGATAACAAATCAAAATGCCACACTTCTTTTAAGGTCCAGGCCAAGTCTTACCACCTCCATGAAGACTTCCTTGATAAAAGTCACCTGACGGTACTCTTTCCTATTTTAAATTCCTCAAACCTTGAATATATTATCTGTCACACTATCAAGGATTTCCTTATATGTTGCCTAGGAATTACTTTCTAGATCCTTCGTGATATGTCTTAATTCTAATTAGACTGTAAACTATCCATAGGACTTCTTCCTTGCCTTTCTTCCTTGTATCACTGGTAACAAGAGTAGGTGGTTCATAAATGTCTGCTAAATTAAATGAACCTGTCACTAAGAGAAAACATGAATCATGGACTAAGCAATCAATAAAACGTATCTGAATTCTCATCTCAATTCTGTTTCCATATCTACAAAACAAATACTCACTTGGATACAGGAACTGTGTGATGAGAATGACTAAGACTGCATTAATATGAAAGAAATAGTTAAATTTAAAGCCTGATATGCATCCAGAGAGTGATAATGTGTTTTTGGCTGCCTATCTTCTCCCTGGCTGTAGGCAGGCACCTGCAGGAAGTTAATAAACCTATGCAATCTAGGGCAGTCCCCTGGCACTGAAATCACCTGCAGCAACTTTCAGGTATCAGATGTGCTACAGGAGTTCAACTATGTACGTCAGCTGATTGACTATAGCCCAATTTGAAACACACTTCCTAGAATTTTTATTTTCAGTACTTCAGATTTTAAAATTTTTTAATTTAAATCAATAGAAAATATTTTCACTTCTGAATCATTATAATACAATGATTATATTGTACACCAGTAATTCTCTTTTTATTTTGATTCTGTATATACTTATATATGTATAATACAGTTTGCAGGAAGCTTCAAGGGTTTCACAGAATCTCAAAGCTAGAAGAAGCCGTATAGTCCGACCTTTACCGGAACAAGATCCCTTCTATGGTCTACCAGACAAGGGTTCAGATGGCACTTGCTTAAAGACTTCTAGCAAAGGGAAATCTTTGGACTTTTCCAAACTTCTCCATCCACCCCATCCCCTGGATTTTCATCCTCCTTTTGTGTATTGTCTTCTCACTCCTTGAGAGAAGGCATTATCTCTTACATATTTGTATCCCCATCACTTAGCACAGTGCATGGTACCTAGCAGGCATTTAATAAACATCTGTAGACTAACTGAATGACGACTTTCAGAGGCAGCCAATATCAACCCTTGTGAATAGCTCTAATATTCAGGAATTTCTCCCCAACAGCAAGAAAATTATTTGCCTCTTTCCAACTTTCATCCAGTGTCCCTACTTTTGCATTCTGGGACCAGGCAGGACAAGTTTAGATGATTGATAGATAGATAGATAGATAGATAGATAGATAGATAGATAGATAGATAGATGAAAAGGATCAACACATCATGATAGAGCACCAAAGTAGGTCTTCTGTGGAGAATTTTTGTGCAAGCATATATATTTTAAAATATATATCACAAATAGACAGTTATTTTGGTAAATTTATAAAGAAGAAGATCTATACTATAATGTATAACAGAACGGATATACTGATAATTAAAAATGGATTCTGATAGAGATTGGACTCTTAAGTATGAAAGACATTGAGTAGACGTAGCCACAATTTAGTAAGTGTTAACTGGAAGTTTAAGTGACAGTTGATTACAAAAATAATAATAACAATAATCACTATCATTATATTATGTAACTATAATAATATAATGCTTTAAGGTATCTATAGCACTTAACTTATGATCTGATTTGATCCTCATCATAATGGCCCTGTCAACTAGAGGCTGACAATCTAATCCAGAGGCTATATGTAAACAAATAACCATGAGGTGGTAGAAGGTAATAGGGAAAAAAAGAAATCCTAAGAGCATTTGAGTAAGGAGAAAACTTTTTGAGTTGCAGAGGTCAGGGAAGACTTCACGGATGAAATGGAAGCCGAGATGGTTCTTAAAGGAGGATTTTGGCAGGTGCATATGTGAAAGAACGCCGCTCAGGGCCAGCAGAAGGCCCACAGGAGTGAGCAGAGACAGAGCACTTTAGGACACGACTGAGGAACAGTTAATAGTCTAGTTAGGGTCAGAACTGAGCGTAGGATTTGTAATACAATGGCAACGACTGCCAAGTCCCTCCCCAGCGACACGCAGGGGTAGCATAACTGGGCATAATTAAGGGTGAAGAAGGGCCTACTGAGTCTGGTAGATTTAATTAGGCTAGCCAATTTTGCGTTTTTGATAGTCTGGATGGTTCAAAAAGCAAGAAAACTCTGGTCTTGACATGTCTCTGTATCTTTTTCCCAATTTATTGACCCATGGAGAAAGAGCTGTGCAACAGAGCACATCTGTGGGTGTCACTTCAACAGGTGTCCGGGGTGCTGTGTTGGCAATTAGCATCATTTATGAGTCTGTTATGACTTTCAGGGATAACTTCCCCTGCATTTCTGGTATGATGCTGATGCTGAAACTGCCCCCATCACCCTAAGGGCATGTGTTTTTTAGTTCAAACATAAAACAGCAATTATAAAGGAAAGACTAGAACTCGAGGGAGAGATGGAGTCCGGAGAGGTTGATTTAGGAGTCATCTACAAAGAGATCATAGGATTAAGTAATGGTTGCAGACATGCTAAATGAGTGTATAGATATATAGAAAAGAGTTAAGGGCACAGCCTGGTGGGACATCCACTCTTAAGAGGTGGGTAGAGGGAAATGCACCCACCAAGGAGGCAGAGGAGTGTTCAGAAAATCAATCATTAAACATTTATTAAGCACCAACTATATGCCAGGCACTGTGCTTAATCCTGTGGATTTAAAAAGAGGCAAAAGACAGTCCCTGCCCTTAAGGAGCTTACAATCTCATAAGGGAGACAACATGAAAACAAATATATACAAATCAATATATAGACAGGATAAACAGGATGTAAGTAACAAAGGGAAGACAATGAAATTAAGAAGGGTGAGGGAAGGTTTCTTGTAGAAGGTGGGATCTTAACTGGGACTTAAAGGCAAGGTCAGCAGTTGGAGCAGAAGAGGGAGAGCATTCCAGGCACGGAAAATAGCCAGAGAGAATGCTTAGAGATGGAGTGTCTTGTTCATGGAATAACCAGGAGGCCAATGTCACTGGATCACAGAGTACATGGACAGGGAGTAAGGTAAAAGAAGACTAGAAAAGCAGGAGGGGAAAAGTAGGTCATGAAGGGCTTTGAATGTCAAAGAAGATTTTGTATTTGATCCTGGAAGCAATAGGGAGTCTCTGGAGTTTATTGAGTAGAAGGGTGACATGATGACAGCTGAAAAATACTTTTGTGGCTGAATGGAGGACAGATTGGAGTAGGGAGAGAACTGAAGCAGGCAGACCCACCAGCGGGCTTTTGTAATAGTCCAGGCTGGAGGTGATGAGGGCTTTCACTGGTGGTGGCGGTATTGGAGGAGAGAAAGAGACATATTCAAGAGATGTTGCAAAAGTGAAATTGGTGATCCTTGGCAACAACTTGTATATGGGGGGACATAGGTAAGAAGAGAAACAGAAAAAAAAAAGTAAAAGCAGTAAAAGCCAAAGGGAGTCAAAAAAGGAGTTAACTGTCAAATGCAGAAAGGTCAAAGGGGCTGAAGACTGAGACAATGAATGAAATGAAAAGGTCACTTTTCATGACCTTGGAAAGGACACTTCTAATAATAGCATGACCAGTATAGAAGTCAGAGTGCATTGTCTCAAAGAGTGGATGGGTGATGAGTAAACTGATGGAAACACCCATGCAGGTGACTCCCTTTCCTACAAGACGGCAGTAGTAGTAAAAGGGAGGAAAGATAATGGGAGTGCAGTAAAGGGGGCAGTCATGGGAAGTTGTTTTAATTGTTTCTGTTCTTAGCACAGAAGAAACATCACTATGTTTACAGGCAAAGGGGAAGGAGCCAGTAGAAACAGATTAAAGTCTCAGAGGAGATGGAATATGTATTAAATTCATATTATACTTCATAGAAACAGAAAATAGGGGATTTTCTTGACTAAAATTAAAATACTCTAATACTTATGTATGGGGCATAGAAGGCTGGTCTCAGAGTTAAGAAGCCCTGGGTTCAAGTCTCACCTCCAACCGTACTGGCTATGTCATCTTTACCAAGTCTTTTAGCCTTGCAGTGTATCCAGACAACTCTCTAAGACATTAGGGCAAAGAGAGTGCATTGGCTACAGATAAGTTAAAGAAATCATAGGTCTGTTTAAAAAAAACTCTACGTATCTATGAAATAGCCTCACATTCACAGTCAATATTCAGGATGGAAAGTGATTTTGCCCAATACCTTCCCTACAGATAGGTCTTTACACTTTAGCGTAAAGTGTAGTCCCAAACAACACTTTATCCACCTAAAGATTTCAAGTTTAAATAGCATTTCATTGTAGCACATACATATTTGTCCTCTGATCCAGAGGCTACGTATCGCCCACAAGGGCTTATGGAAATTGCACAGGGATGGCAACGGTTAAGATGTCCTTCAAAACGGCGTTCACACCTATAAAGAGAAACAGAAACACTGAAAATAATGTTCACAATAAAGTTTGATGATTTAAATTTAATAATAAAGTTATAAAGTTTAATAAGGTTAGAGTAAAGAAAGAAACTAAGCATACATTTTCCATTTCTACAGAGAAAAAAGAACTTTTTGACAGTAAGAATGATTAGGAATATGTTACCCTAAAGATTTTTTAAAATAAGATAAATAGTTTTCTGGCAGCTAGGTGGTGCAGTGGATAGAGTACTGAACCTGGATTCAGGAAGACTCATCTTCCTGAGTTCAAATCTGACCTCAGACATTTGCTAGCTAGCTGTGTGACCCCGGGCAAGTTACTTAACCCTGTTTGCCTCAGTTCCTCTTCTCTAAAATGAATTGGTGAAGGAAATGACAAACCACTACAGTATCTTTGCCAAGAAAGCCCCAAGTGGAGTCACAATCAGACACGACTGAAACAAATGAACAACAACAAAATAATTTTCTATCTTGAATAATTTGGTAAGTGATTTACAAGCTTTTTGGACTGCTACATTCAAATGAAATATGAAATATCGTTAGTTTCATTTCACAACCCTATTCACAGAAGTGTTGTATAGCATTTATTTAAATCATTCTAGTGAAATCAATTTAACTTTGTTTTTTGAAACTTCTAGACATTCTTGGGATAACAGGAAGTATAATAGCGAATCTTTTAAAAATTGGGATGAGAATGACTCATTAGGCAATGGATGTAATGATCTGTTAGGGTCCTTTTCAATTAATGAATCAATCAACTACTTTCTGAAAGCTTGTTATAAATTTAATACTCTGCTGAGTATAGTACCATAGGGGATATTGAAGATGCACAAGATAAGAACTTTGCCCTCAAGTTTCCCTGACTTGTATTTAACCATGACAATTTAACCAAGCTTGACTTATCTACTACCTAGACAGTTAAATTGCATGGTGGATACAGCATTGGAACTGGAGTCAGAAAGATGAGTTCAAATCCTGCCTCTCGGACACTCACTAGCTCTGTTTGCCCCTGGGCAAGTCATTTAACCTCTATCTGCCTCAGTTTTCTCATCTACAAAATGGGAATAATAATAGCACCTACCTCCCAGGGTTGTTGTGAAGATAAAATAATAAACATATAGCTCTCTGCAAACTTTAAAGTACTGTATAAATGTTAGCTATCATTATTATTAATTATTATGTGACTGGGGGAAGTAAAAGGAACAAGAATTTATCAATTGCTTTATAAATATCTCACAACCATCTGTGAGGTAGATGTCAAAACTATGATTACTGCAGAGGAATTTTTACATATTAATTAAGGTTTTTGAAAGGAAACCCAGCAACTTTCAATAGACCACAAACATTGAGCTAGTCAATCAGTGTCAGGCATTCAAATACCTAAACATCTAATTCAATAAAGCCCTTTCAAGGAAATTGCACACCAAAACATACTGGTCACAGTCACTAAAAACATAGGAATCATATTGTAACTCTTTTGTACATAATAGCCATCCATTGAATTCTGCTAAAATACTAGAACTCTTGAGAGAATAGATGTACAATAGATGTACAAGGCTAATAACACAGACAGCAAACATGAGAAACTTACAAAACAGTTGCCCCCTAGCATACCTGACAGCTCTAATATTGGCAGAGTTTGGACTTCCCTCAATTACAATTCATGTGGCCATTTAAGAAACTGAAATTTTTCTCTATTCTCTCAAAGACATGCTGTATCCAGTTACAGAACTGTGAAGAATAAGTTCACAAAGATCATGAACTACTCCAACTCCCTTCCACCCTTAGGAACTCATTGGTCATTAAACTGACCATATGCTTCTCCAGCTTGATCCATTATCTATATTGCCATGGCAGGCCAGGACCTTTAGACAGTCCTGGTATGCTGAGTCAGGTACAAAGAGCAGAAGTATCATGGACATATGATCTCTCAAAAGGATATTTAGTCTCTCCATAAAGTTGACACAATCATCGGATGGGAAAATGTCTCAAGAATCGCTGAGCTCCAGGGACTTCTAGAGCTTGTGGCATACTAATGGTGTTTGTGCCCTACTTCACCCTGGCTACATGTGACCGAAGAGTCATGCCTGAGAATGATCATCTTACTACCAAAAAAATAAAAGGCTTACCTTGTCCCAATCTTGATCTACTTGGACCATCAACGGCTATGACACATACTTCAAATATCATAATAGGGAACATAATTCAGCCTGATCCAAAACTCATCTAGCTGCAATCCAGTGTCTACTCCTCAAAAATTCTCAAACTACATCTTAAATCTAGAACTGGAAGGTACCTATCACAGAGGCCAAACCACTCACTTTATACAGAAGAACTAAGTGATTTGAGTGAAGTCATATGGGACCAGGATTCAAACTCCAGTTGTGTGATTCCAAGTTCACCACTATTTTCCCTTTGCTGAACTGCAAATTAGACCATATAGAAAGTAGAGCTTTTAAGCATGGAGGCCTACATTCTAAACTTGGCAGCATTCCCAGCAGGAAGTCAGTGATCTCATCACAATAGAAAGAGCACCACAAGCTAGTGAGTGCATCCCCAGATAATTTACCAACACAACAAATACCAGATCCATTGGCCATTGTAATTTAATCAGTTATACTTCAATATAAGTTGGTCTCAAAGCTCAGGATAACTTAGCCAATGTTCTCTCACACAAGTATGAATATCTGGTCCTACCCAAAGCAGCCAAATCCTTGAAAGACTGTTGAGTTTAGAGTGGATCTCATGGATCCGCCCTCATTCTAATACTGTTCAACATTTACATCATGGACATTTTAATCAAAAAGTTGTATAAAAGCACATACGTGCTGGCAATTCAACATGCTGATGACACAAAGCTGAAAAGGCTACCTAGTGTACACAGTGGCAGAGACAAGACTCAAGGCTAGAATTATGGGCTAAATGTAATTAAATAAAAATTGATTTGGACAAATGTAAAATCCTAGCCCTGGAAAAAAAAAATCCACTGCACAAATACCAGCTGGAGAAGGCATGTCTAGACAATACTTTGTGTGGGAAAAACTGCAAGGTCACCATATGTCAGCGTTGTGACATGACAGCCAAAAAAGCTAGTGTGATCCAAGGAAAAGCATTAATTAATGCTTACTGCGCTCATTGAAACAGTGTTCAGAACAAAAGAGAAGATGGTTCTGCTGGACTCTGCCCCAGTCAGATCACATCTGGACGACTAGGTTTAGTCTGAAGCACCACATTTTAGGAAAGAAATTGACGATAGGACACAAGGATTATTTGTTAGAAGGAACATGATAGCTGTCTTCAAGTCCTGGAAAGGCTGCCATGTGGAAGAGAGACCAGACTTGTTCTGCTTAGTTCCAGAGGGTAGAAATAGGAGAGATCAGTGGAAGTTTCAGTAAGGCACAATTAGATTTGATATAAGGAAAAACTTTCTAAAAATTAGAACTTTCAAAAAACTGATTGTCAAATCAAAAGACATTTATTAAGTACCTACTGTGTACCAAACAATGTAACTACTTACATCCAAGATTTATGTGTCCCCTCTGAACCTCATCATCCTCAGAGTCTATAGAGGGAGTCTGATTAGACCAGACCTGGAAGTGGTTGAATGATGATCTTGATGGCCTTAAGGAAAGAGACGGAAGAGGAATACAATGGAGGGGGGATGCAGAGAAAGAAGGAAAATGAAGATGAGGGGAAATTGTCTCACACATAGGGTGCACAAGTAGACATTTATGCGAACAAAGAGAAAGAGGGTTAAAGGGAGTAACTGACACTTGAACCTCACTCTCATCTGCACTGCTCAAAAGAGTGAAACACTTTTCACTCAGTAGGGAAGTAGGAAAGGGCACAAGGATGGAAAGAAAACTAGAGGAAGGGTAAGTTAAGGGAGAAATGAGTCCAAAGCAAGATAAATTCTGAGGATGGAAAAAAATATATCTCTTTTTGAGGTGGCAAAGAATTGGAAGCTTAGGGAGTGCCTATAAATTAGGGCATTGATAAACAAGTTATGGCATATAAATGTGATGGAATGCTACTTTGCTGAACTCTTACCAGCTAGAATTCCAGAGAAGTAATGAAGAAACATGATACCTACCTCCTGATACGAGGTGAAGAACTCAGTGCAGAATAAGACAAAAAAAATTTTTAGACATAGTCAATGTGGACATGTGTTTTGATCGACTATACATGTGTGTAATGGATTTTGTTTTTCTTGTGTTCTCATTTGGGAAGGTGGGGCTAGGGTGAGAGGGTAAAAAGAGGGATCTTGGCTTACTAAACCAAAAAAATTTAAATAATAAAGCAGGGGGCAGATAGGTGGTGCAGTGGATAGAGCACCAGCCCTGGAGTCAGGAGGACCTGAGTTCAAATCCGGCCTCAGGCACGTAACGCTTACTAGCTGTCTGACTCTGGGCAAGTCACTTAACCCCATTGCCCACCCCACCTCAAAAAAAAAATAATAATAAAGCAAATTATGCCAGATCTGATGGTCAGTTGCCCCTACCCTCTTTCCTAAGGGACAGGTCAGTTTTGAATAGACTGAGGCCAACCCTATTCATAGCAGAAAGCTATCCTCTCAATGTAAGCAGTATGACTTGCTGATATTCACTTTCCCAGCTACAGCTAAATGAGGGAAGGGTGATGTATTTTATTATGCTCCTTCATTCCAAATAGCTGGGAAATAACAAAATGTCAACAGTTGATTGTGACATTTCTAAAAATAGCTAAGCAGATAGGTTCCTAATAGATTCTCCAGACTTGGACTAGAGGCTCTAATTAATATTCCACTTTCTGCAGAATGTCTTCTCTGCCCTCTATATCAAAATCCACTTGTTCTTAAAATGATATACCTAGAACAAGAGTCAAAAAGAAAGAACCAAATATATCATGGAATAATATCTTGAGAATTACAACCAAAAATTCCTACCTTCCCATCACAGTGTGCACCTATAACTACATCATTCATTTATCCATTCAAAACACACCTT